AATTAAGTGCTTTTTTGACGGGAATAAAACGGAAAAAAAAAGCCTTTCATATGAGACAATCAGCATCAGTAAATGCAAAATGGTTCCATCCTCTCTTTCGCACTCAAGCATCACATTCATTTTCGTTGTTCTTGTCTGTCAAAGTTCTCATTTCTATGGCCTCGCGCTAGCTTCAAATGCCCACTCTCTTGACTAGACCAGATTTCTTTTCTTAGATAATTTTCCATCCACCCATATTTTTGTTTCAATAGATTTCCGCCCGCTAGAAATGCTTTTTTTCATCTTATGTGCAAATGATTTCAACTCATTTTTGTGATGTCAAACAACAGAAAATTTCAGTATCAAAATTTTATTTGCTTATAAACAAAGAATTATCATATTGAATATGAGAGAAGCATTAAACCGAAATCAACCTGAATATTGGATAAGAACAATGAACAATGCAATGCGATACTGACCACGACCACGAGAGAGAGGATCCGAAGAGGTATTATGTGTGTGTATGTGTATGTGTGAATTTATAAACAACTTACCACCAAACTAGCAAATATCAATTAACATATTATAAAATGTGGTTCATCTATTTCACATGCAGTCCCACACATTTTCACTACATACTTTTGTACTGCTTAGGATGAAATGTCGAATTAGGCAACTTGCTAGAATCTCTTTTTTTGCAGTGAATCCTTCATCATATCGCAGAAATAGCTTTTGGAGAAGGTCAGAAGAATTGGCAAAGAAAGCACACATACGCACTCACTTAAACACTTTCAAACAAACTGATGCAAACCCAAAACGAAAAATATTCATAAAACCCCTTCAACATAAGCGTAAATTAGTTAATGAAATTCGCTGATATTTTTCGTTAAATGTTATGAATTGATCACATCAATCACTCAATTTCACTTTGAGAAAGTAATAATTCCTCGTGGTGTATCACCTTATTAGATGGAGTTGTTGCTGATGCTGCTACTGCTGCCTCATGAGCAGGCGTCTGACCGCTTTGCTCGCGCAAATTACCAGCTTCAACTCCCTCCTCCAATGATGTGTTCTCATCATCGTCCGCTGTTTCCACTATATGAAGTTTCGAATCTTCCTGCATTCAGCACAACAATGAACAATATTCACAAA